GGACACTGAGTTGATTTGTCCTGTTGCTGCTGCTGATTCCTTTGCTGACCTCAGAGCCAGTGTTTCTAGGCTTCCATCACTGACTGAGGTCACCGGCTCTTCAGGAACTCTCTGGATTTTTAGTGTCAGATGGGGACTGCGGAGGCACTGAGCCCTGTGGACTGAGGAACTGCTGGTTCTCCATCTCTCCAGTGTGAGAGCTATTGTGGGACTACTCTGGCTGCTGAGGCACTCACCCAGCCTCAAGAACTGAGCAACTACCAGGTTCTCAGCTTCTCAGATGTGATTCAGCTGTTGTTACAATCTCAAAGTAAGCTGATTAATAAATTTTTAAAATATGTATTTTCACTCTGTCAGTTCTGTTCTTCTAGAGAACCCTGACTAATACAGAGGGACTTCTGGGATATATAAGCACGTTCTCTTATTAAGGGGCTAGATAACTATTCTTCCCACCTCATTAACATATCTTCAGGTGACTCTGCTTTTCCTAGGGATGGCCTTCTGGACAGGTAACTGACAGGCCCAGCTGGATTATCTCTTAAGGGAGGAGACAGTAGTATGCAATGTTTGGGACCCAGGGCCGGAAGTAGACTCAGATTCCATACTCTTGGCCAAGAGGAAATAGCTTTCCTTAATAGGCCTCAATAAAGCCCTAATACCGCCACCCTTTCATGTGGTGTTTTAAATCACAAGGAGGGGTAATTATGATGCTTTCCTTAAAATTGGTGTTACCAGAGAAAGGGATGGTTGGTGGGGTCCAAAGCTGATTACGAAGAATCTATCCTCAATGGCCTCCAAGCCTGCTAATTACTGTCTGGTCACCTAAAAGTGACGCTCTGTAACAGAGCTATGCTCAAAACTAAACCAATGATCAAGCCTAATACAAAATCTTTTCTTGAGAATCTATTTTCCAAGATTCTTTTGTAGCAGTCAGGTTCCAATTAGGAAAACAGAAACCTGCCAGCACTTTGATGGAGGCACTTAAAATGAAGTAGTAGAGAACTGAAATGGTAGAGTAGCACTGAGATGCCACCAAGGTAGGAACAGCAAGCAACAGCTCATCCTCAGTGCGGATGCTCTCAGTGCAGATAGAAGGAACTCTTGGAAATAACAGGCAGGACTTTGTATAGACATAGTCTTAGAAAAGAAAACCTTTTTTTTTTTCATTACACTTTTAAAAAAATTATTTATTATTTTTATTTTATGTGTATGTGTGTATTGCCTGCATGTAGGTAAGTACACCCGTGTTGTGCAATCCCTGCAGAGGTCAGAAAAGGCTGTCAGATCCCCTGAGACTGGAGTTACAGACAATTGTTAGCTGCCATGTGGGTGCTGGGATTCAAACCTGGGTCTTCTGCAAGAACAACCAGTGTTCTTAACTGCTGAGCCATCTCTCCAGCCACAGAAAAGAAAACCTTTTAAGAATAATTTTTGGGATAAATTTGGATTTGTATTGGAAATAAATTTTAGGTAAATAGGTTGTTGCATCTACCTTGAAAGCATTAGATAGGTTCTTATGGACTTTCTGAAGTTCTGAAGTGACTAACTTTATGCTACTGTGGTGGCTAATCTTAGTTGTCTACTTGACATACCTGGGAAGAAGGAACCTCAATTGAGGAATTTCCACTATCAGATTGGTCTATGGCCAGGTCTGTGAGGCATTTTCTTGATTGCTAATTGATGTAGGAGGACACAGAATACTGTGGGTGGTACCATATCTAGGCAGATGGGCCTGGCTTTATAAGAAAGATAGCTGAGTATGAACAGAGAAAGAAGCTAGTAAAAAGCTTTGTTCCTGGCCTCTGCTTCAGTTCCTGCCTCGGGTTCCTGATCTGACTTCCCTTAATGATGAACCTGTAAGATGAAATAAAACTCTTCCTCCCCAAGTTGGATTTGATCAGTGTTTTGTAACAGCAACAGAAAGCAAAATACTATTTGTAATGGGTCATGGTTGCATTTAGAAATTATAGACTATGAAAAAAGTACAGCCTAAAGATGTTTTATTGATATAAATAAACCTCACTGATATAAATACGACCTAGAAATATGCTTGCATTACTCATGAGAGCTACTTTTAGCTTAAATGCTGAGTCTCATATAGTTTCCAAAAACCATATGCAACCATAAAATGGATTTAAATGATGCCAAGATTGCAGTTATTAGAAACTTAATAAATCATAAATTCTAATTTATTGTCCATTGTCAAAATTTAAAAAAGCATTGTTGTTGAATTTATGAATAGTTTTCAAACACCCTTATTGATGGTTTCTTTTAAAAGCATCTAATGATTTTTGTTTGCTTTTCATATTTTCTATTTTTAATACAAAACTTCTCCAAAGATTCCTTTTCTTAGCAGTAAATTGAAAATATTGCTCTTCATTCGTGGTATTCTCTGGGACCTCTTAGAATTTTATGGCTTCTACAAATGTTGATTGAAATTTTTCATTTTTTGTTTTCCTCTTTCTTTGTCAGCATTTATTTATAATTAATGTTTTAAGTTAGCATACAAAGTAAACTGTTTCATTATAACATTTTCATACATGTGTTCATTGTTCATTGTTGTAATTAAGCCCTCTCCCTTCCTGCCCTCCCTTGTGCCTCCTGACTGGTTTCCTTCCTCCTCCCAAATATTCACCCCTTTTGTGAATACTTATCATTTCATGAATATATATCATGAGGAGAATAGGATAAACACTGGTCAGGAAGAACAGGGGTCCCAAAGCAGCAGTTCCACGAATGTCCTTATTATAGGCCTGGAATGCCAAGAGAGTTCTGCTCCATGTTGCCTGTTACCTCTTCTCCTAAATGAGCACCTGTCATGGTTGGCGTTGGTTGTCAACTTGACACACCTGTGAAGAGGGAATCTCAACTGGGGAATTTCTTTTATCAGATGGGCCTGTGGGCATGTCTGTCATCATTTTCTTGATTGTTGAGTAATAAGGGAGGGTCCAGCCCGCTACAGGTGGTGCCAGTCCACTGTGGGTGGTACCACCCCTAGGCAGGTGGTTCTAGGTTGTGTAAGGAAGCAGACTGAGCACAGGTCAGAGGAGCAACCAGTAAGCAGTGTTCCTCCATGGTCTTTGTGTCAGTTTCTGCTTTCAAGATTCCTGCCTTGAGCTCCTGCCCTGGCTCCCCTCCATGATGGACTGTAAGCTGTAAGTGGAAATAAATCCTCTCCTCAAGTTGGTTTTGGCAAGTGTTTAATCACAGCAGCAGGAAAGCAAAGTAGGACAGCATCCTTGCCTGAATGCTGCACATAAAGACCTGACCCAAACTGAAGAGGCACCTGGACACCTTGTGGGTAGACCCACAGCTAGACCATCCACCTCCCCATGTCTCACCCTACTTTCTGCTCTCAGTGCTATAAAAGCCCTCAGACAAGCAGCTCAATGGTATCCCATTTCCTAGGATTCACTCTTGCTATACTGGAGCTCTGTCTTCTCTTAAGCTTCCAATAATAAAATACTTCTTTCAAAAACTCACCCTCTGTAGTCTGTGAATTCCATTCTTTGAATTCATGAGACAAGAACCTAGAGATCACTGACTCAGTGGATGTTGTGTGTGATCATGAGTGTTTAGCACTCTAATTTCTGAGCCCACTTGAGTCAAGAGAGAAGGCCTCTGTCAAACTCAAAGATATCCCACTTTTCCTGTATCAATTTCCCTCTTTTCTTCCACTTCCATTATTAATGATCTGCTTTCTGGTTTCATTACACATACACACACACACACAGAGTCAATCCAGGATCTCTGAAAGAAATCCAAATTCTGTATCTGTTTTTGAGTTTGGCAAATTTCACCTAACATGATTTCCATTTCCATACATTTTATTACATATATCAAAATTTCATTTTCCTCCATGACTGAACAAAACTTCATTGTGAATATGTATCACATTTTTAAAATTCATTCATATGTTGATGGGCATCCAAGTTGATTGCAGATAGTGCAGCCGTAGCATAGATGTATACATTTTTCTGTAGTATGTTTACTTAGAATCATATATACATATATATACACACATATATACACACACATATATGTGTGAGTGTGTATGATAGAGAATGAGTTGGTATATAAAATGGGTCATATGGCAATTCTTAGTTTTTTTGAGAAACTTTCATACTGCCTTTCACAGTGGCTGCACTAGTTTACATTCTTACCAACGGTATATTAGAGTTCCTCTTTCCTTCCATCCTTGCCATTTGCCATTTAATTTTTTTGTGTCTTTTTGAGACAGGGTCTTCCTGGAGCCCCAACTGGCCTGGAATTTACTATGTAGGCCAGGCTGACCTCAATCTCACAGAAATTGCCTCTGTGTCTGAGTGCTGGGATTAACAGTGTGTGCCACCATGGCTGGCTCTTTTTTGGGGGTGGGGGTAGATTTAATATTTTGATGCTAAGCCATTCTGACTGGTGGGGTGAAAACAAATCTCAGTGTTTTATTTTGCATTTCTTTGATGGCTAAGTATGTTGAACTTTTTTCAAGTATTTACTGTCCATTTGTATTCTTTTGAGAACTATCTGTTCAGCACATTAGCCCATTAATTGATGGATGTTTCCTGGTGTTCAATTTTTGCAGTTCTTCACATATTCTAGGTATTAACCTCTTTTCTGGTGGGTGGTTGGCCACCCCCATTCTGTAGGTTCTCCCTTGGTTCTAGCAATTATTATTATTATTATTATTATTATTATTATTATTTTTTGCTGTACAGAAGTGTCTTAATTTCATATGAACCCATCGGTCACTTCCTGGGATTACTTCCTGTGCTATTGGAGTTCTTTTCAGAAATTACTTGCCTGTGTTTACATCTTGAAGCTATTATTAATTTTTAATTAATTTTTGAGAATTTCATACATGACTATTGTCAGTCCCCACCCACTCCTCCCTTGTCACCCCACTCCCTCTCGATGTCTTGTCCTCTTCTTCGATTATTATTGTTACACATACATACACACACATAATACACTGTTCATTTAGTTGTGCTTGTGTGTACCTGAAAAATATGGCCTGCTTCATGATTTTGCCTGTCATCCTTGCACAGGGGCCAGGCTAATCTCTGTATCATTCCAATTTTAGTATATGTGCTGCTGACGTGAGCACTTGAAGCTTTTCTCAAGATCTTTCTTCTAGCAATTCCAAAGTTTCAGGTCTTACATTCATATATTTGACCCATTTCAAATAGGTTTTTGTTCAAGGCAAGAAATGGATCTAGTAGCATTCTTCAACATGTGGAAATCCAGTTTTCCCAACAGCTTTTGTTAAACACTCTTCAATATATGGTGTGTGTGTGTGTGTGTACATGTATGAGTGTTCATATCTGTGTGGGTGCACCTTTGTGTGCAGGTGTGCATGTATGTGCGTGTGCATTTGTGTACAGAGGTTGATGTTGTATTTAATATCTCTCCTCCATCTTATATATTAAGGCAAGATCTCTCACTTGAACCCAGAGCTCACTGGTTTGGCTGGCCATATAGGTAGCCAGACAGAGATTTCCTATCCTGTTTCCTGAGCACTAGGATTACAGGTGTCCTGCCAAGGCCATCTGGCTATTTGGTGGGTGTTGGGGATCAGGACTCTGTCCCTCATGCTTGCATGGGAAGTGCTTTACTGGCTAAACCATCTCCCCAGATCCCTATGATGTATATTTTTTGACAACTTGGTGAAAAATTATGTGGCTATAATTGTGTGAGTCTATTTATGGGTAATCTATTCTTTTCCATTGGCCTACATGTCTATTTTGTGTGTGTGTGTGTGTGTGTGTGTGTGTGTGTGTGTGTGTGCCAGTGCTATGCTGTTTTCTTATAGTTATGTAGCATATATTTGAGACCATAAATTATAATAAACTCCAGCACTGCTCTTTCTGCTTAGAATTTCTGTGGCTAGTGTGTGCCTTTTGTGCTTCACTGGGTCAGATGGAGCCGCTTCAAGCCTGCCATCTTACCTAGAAGTCTCCAGGCAGTTCGTGATTTCTATCAGCCACTGAAGGGATAAGACTGGCTGGGATGAAGAGAAGGCTTAGTATGACTCCTGTTCCCTCCACCCTAGTTACAACAGCTCTACTTTTGTAAATTTCATATACTGAAGTTCTATTTAGAGAAAAACTTTTGAACAGTATTTGAAAGCTTATGGACTGTCTGATCTCCAAAGTCCTGTCTAGGTACAGTATTGTGTTGAAGTTTAGCTTGTCCACTCTTGTTAGTCTTCCACACAGACGCTCACTCCTGTTAGTCTTCCACACAGATGCTCGCTCTGCAGCCTTGGCTCACCTTATTGCAGAGCTTCCTCCTTACTGTGATATGAGTCCTCCTTGACTGTAATATTTACTGGAGACGATGATTTCATAATGGCACATTTTGACTGATTTGTGGTCATACAGGAGTTACCCTTCATGTAACATTCTTGACTTAATAAGGATTATGCTTTTCTTTGAAGTTTCAGTTCTTATACATACACAAGGAACTGAATTTCACCCCTAGCACTGGAAAAAAAATATTTTCTGGATTAGGGTTTTTGCACCATCTGCTGGACATATTTATTGTACACATACAAAGAGGATAAAAGGAGAGAAGCTGGGCTGAAGGAGGCAAAGCCTAATGATAATGATTTCCTTAAAAGCTTATGTTAAGGAAAAAAGGAATGAAAACTAATGAACTAAATATACATCTTAAGAAAAAATGCCAGGCATAGTGGCACATGCCCTTAATCTCAGCAGTCAAGAAAGCAGAGACAGGCAGACCTCTGTGAAATTGAAGCCATCCTGTCTACACAGTGAGTTCCAGGCCAGCTGGGGCTACAGGGAGACCTTGTTTCAAAAACAAAACAAAAATATATCATGAAATAAATACCTGGAGCTGAAGAGATAATCAGTGGTTAAGAACACTGGCTTCCCTTGCGGAGGATCCCAGTTTGGTTCCCAGTACCCACATGGTGGTTAACAACTGTCCATAACTTCAGTTCCAGGGCACCCAATACCCTCTTCTCACCTCTATGGGCATTGTACTACATGGGTGCACTTACATACATGCAAGCAAAATATTCAAACACATAAAACAAAGAAAAAAAGAAAACAGAACATCGAAATATAGCAAAGAATAGTAAAATTTCCTGAAAGTTTATAGAAGGATATGAAATGGACAATGGAAATATAAAAAGAAGACAGCTGAAAAAGCAAATTCTTTGATAGAATGGAAAAGTCTCTCAAAAAGAAGGCACAAACAAACAGTATTATGGATGGAAAAGTAACTATAGATACTGCAGACATAAATGTCAGCACAATGATATTATGGGAAAATTCATGCCAATAAGTTGGGAAATTGGAAGACATGATTATATTCCTAGAAAAACATTTACCAAAATTGTTCCACAAAGTCCTGCTTTATCAATCATGTGTATAAATATTCCTTGTAAGCACATACAATTTCACAGTATCATTTTCCTTGTTGATATTATATTCTTGCTTAGAAAGTCATTACTACTTTTTTTTTTTTTTTTTTTTTACTTTCCCAATTTAGCAATTCTACAATCTAGGAATTAACACAAGACTTACTATTGTAAATTTTTGTGAAGATCTTTCTTTCCTTAGAATAATTTTTTTCCTAAAGAAGAATTACTGGAACAAAAAAGTATGCTTATTTTACCAACAAGCTATAGTTTTATTAAACCAATGACAGAAAATATTCCTGGAAGAAAGAACAAGAAGCACTGTGGAAGGAGCAAGCACAAAATGTATTCAAGCAGAAGTCACATGAACTACTTAGTGAAGCAGGACATGGGGAAATCAAATTATGACACAATATTAGCATAACAAGTGCATTTCTAGTAAAAAAAAAAAAAGTATGTGGTAATTAGTAAATACAATAGTAATACAATAAAATATCTTGCCTGGTGTGATGATGTGGTGGCACTCACCTTTAATCCCGGTACATGGGAGGCAGAGGCAGGCAGATCTCTGTGAGATGGAGGCTGGCCTGGTCTACACAGCAAGTTACAGGGTGGTTGGTGCTACAGGGAAACCCAAGAAAGAAAGGGAGAGGGAGGGAGGGAGGAAGGAAGGAAGGAAGGAAGGAAGGAAGGAAGGAAGGAAGGAAGGAAGGAAGGAAGGAAGGAAGGAAGGAATTGTATAAGAATCATTTGAAAGTTTTCCAAAATGGAACTGCTGGAGGTCCTGAACTGGCACAGACAGGAATCATATCTTTAAATGCTTACCAAGTAAAAGATTCAAGGAGCAGCAATTATCGACACCCTTGAAGGCCTCCAGCAATAGACCTACTTACTGGTCCTGGCTCAGCCCCATGCACTTACCAACCTCCACAGAGATTCCTACTATGAAATGTGTCTTTTCAGACATACAGCTCATTACATTTTCACTGAACTTTAAACAACAGTCATAGTAAGCCATATTGAAGTCATAGAAACTAGGAAATAATGGTGATTCTCATGGGGGTCTTTCCATTAAAGAGTTGGATGAGCTCAGTGCTAGTTCATTTGGTAGCTGCTGAGGAAGACTTTAAACATTTAGGAAGTTAAAACTAGACGTGTGCTGGGGCTGGAGAGATGGCTCAGCAGTTAAGGACACTGACTGTTCTTGCAGAAGACCACGGTTTAAATCCCAGCACCCACATGGCAGCTAACTGTTCATAACTCCAGTTCCAGAGGACCCAACAGCCTCTTCTGTCCTCCATGGGCATAGCACGACACGGGTGCACTTATCTACATGCAGGCATAACACTCATACACATAAAAAGTAAAAACAATAAATTATTTTAAAAAAACAACTAGATGTGTGCTGCTGTAGTCCCCTTTGATGCTCATGACTCTCAAAGTCAATGACTTTTCAGTTACATCACAACAAACATCCTACATCATATTGAGTTTTAACATCCTATAGCAGTTTGAGTTTATTAAAAATTATTTGGCCACAATAGGAATTTTCTTACATCCCCTTCTTTCATAAATGGGATAATATACATATGATCCTGACTTACAATGGCTTAACTTATGATTCTTTGATTTTATTTTTTAATACTATATCTAATTTTTACATACATATTTAGTAGGAAGCAACTTTAAATTTAGGATATTGACAGTTTCCAAAATTACTGGTACATGGTATGATATTTCCTTGTGATACTGAGCAGCAGCATGCAGTTACAAGTCCTAGTTACCCATGTGAGCACAGTGAAGGAAAAATGACAGTCTATGCCAAGGCCAGGTTGTGTTTTTCCCTTTATTTGGTAGCACTACCGGTAATCAAACCCAAGGACCTGTGCATGCTAGATAAGTATTCTACCACTGAGCTGCATCTCCAGCCATATATGCATTTTTAAAAACTTATTATGGATTGATTGGGGAACCCACTGTAAATTGAAGAATATCGGTACAGTAAATATATTTTATATGCTGCTTTTTCATTTAAAACTATAAATATGCACATATACATATATATCTATATGTACATGTATAGTTCAGGGTATGTATGTGTGTGGTGTGTGCACGTGGGTTCTTATGCTTGTGTAGAAAGCCCTTTACCAATTGAGTCATCTCCCCAGCCCTTAAAACTATGTTTTTTAAGTCGGGCGTGGTGGTGCACACCTTTGATCCTAGCACTTGGGAGGCAGAGGCAGGCAGATATCTGTGAGTTTGAGGCCAGCCTGGTCTATATAGCGAGTTCCAGGCAAGCTGGGGGCCACAGGGAAACCCTGTCTCAAAAAAACCAAAACAATAATAGTAATAATATTTTTAAATTATTCTATTTCGCATGGTGGCTAAACACCATCATTAACTCCAGTTCCAGGGGAATCTGATGCCCCCTTCTGACCTCTGCAGGCTTTGCACAACACAGGTGCACTTACATGCATGCAGGCAATACACGCATACATATAATAAATAAAATGTGAATCCTTCATTTGAAAAAGGAACTGATTTTATATTACCTTCAACTTAATCTCTAGTTTACCTGAGAAAACATGAAAAAGAAATAGTAAATTAGTTAGTAAAAGTTAAGTGAAAGGACAATGATTTCCAGAATATCAACGTTAGTGAGGCACTGAAAAATATTCTTCTGTATCTGTCCTAAATACTTTCTATTGCTGTGATAAACA